TGTATTGTAACATACTTGTCCATTCTCACCTACTATGATATTATCCATCATAGCAAAATGCACTTAACACCAGCACTGTATTGTTATTTACTCATTAGTGATTCAGAATTCCATGGTGTTTTAGGATTATATGTATTGTGATGGTCCTGTGTGTGGTGGAGGTGGAGACCCTCACTCTACTCTGGTAGGTATTTGCAGTGTTACTGAATCCCTGCAAACTGGGGGGCTCATTTTCCTGTATAAAAATAAAAACAAAAACTTCTCTGGAGTGAGAGAATGTATTTTTTTAATTGAAGTATCATCAGTTACCATGTGTCAATTTCTGGTGTGCAGCTTAATGTCCCAGTCATACATATACATACATATGTTTGTTTTCATATTCTTTTTTGTTAAAGGTTACTACAAGATACTGATATTCCCTGTGCTATACAGAAAAAATTTGTTTTTTTTATCTATTTTTACATATAATGGTTAACATTTGCAAATCTCAATGGATTGAGAGGATATTGATGTTATGTTCCCTATAAAGGGGGTTATTGATGGTCATGACAATGAACCCTATTGTTCAACCTGTATAAATGAGTGGAGCCTGGTGGCCTTAACCCTTGTAGATAAAGTCTGAGTAGTTAAAGTTAAGGGCACAGTCTGGTTCTTGGCTAGCAAGAGGTAGTAACAGTAGAGAGTTTCCCTTCTAGTGGAATGCAGGCGTGTTAATTATTATTATGTTAATTAACAATAACTAACACAAACCTGCCTGTCATTTCCCAGAAACTGCCACGGGCTATTCCTGTTACTACAGAGTCAGTAAACATTTATTGAAGAGGAACGGGCAGGCAGTGTTGCCCCCAGGCCAGCCCCGACCCCCTCCACTGGAGAGCCTACCCTCATGGGAGCCGTTTCCCGGCTTTTTCATTCCACTCCAAGCATTCGTTTCGCAAGTCCAGCCAAGAGTACTTTGAGGGGAGGCAGACCTCGTTCACAAGCCTGACATCAAAACACCAAAGCTTAGAGACAGACAGACAGGCTCAGAGCCAGGTGAAGCTGAAGCTTCCAGAATGACACATGTACCAGGCCCAGAACACTTAGTATCTCCCAGGCCCTCCAGGATTTGGGGTGAAGCTAGGACGGGTTGAGCATCGCCTTTTAGAATCCCCACATGGTATGTGGTGGATTCCCCAAAGCAAATACAGAAGCAATGTGTTCTTTTGCTTTAAGATAAAATCTACTCAAGGCCATTAAGTTATGATTGTGTCTGATAAATCTGGACCACATGTGACACGAGGCCATCTGTGTCCTTAATCTAAAAGTCACTTGAAGTTAAAATAACTCCGTGTGCCTAATGCTACTTGTTCGTGTTCTGTATAACATTACCGCAGACATAAACCTAAAATAACCTGAATTTTTCCGTCAAGCAATCCTTAGTTTAAAAGTAGCCTGTGGTTTATATAGACCTCAAATGATAATACTCTCACCCCAATGCTAGTTCATCAAACTGTAAATTTATGAGGCACTTAGCATTTGAACTTTTAAAACCAGATCAAGCGTGATCCGTATCCTGCCGTCTGGAACATTCCTCAGGGAATTTCTTCTCTGGGGGCCAAGCAGAATGAGTCGCTAATATGACGCCCTGCGGGCACACGGTGGTCACAGTCAGGGCACAGTCAGCTTTTCTGAGCACTTTTGTAAACATGGTTTTGTCTCCAGAGAGACCAGGTTCTCTGGCCAGCAGAGTCTGCCACGTGGGCCAGAGAGCCTCTTTGATTTTACAAGCAGCTTGACCACCAGAGAAAAGTTGGACGAGGTCACAGCTGAAACATTCCTCGGTACGTGGCACGGCCGTTCTGCCAGGGCTTGGCTCTCGTCCGACTGTGGTTTTGCAAACAACAAGGAGCATCTGGTGGCTGCTCAGGACATCCCATCTCGGGACAGTGGGAGGTGGTTGCCATCGTGTTTTGACTCTCTGTGGGACTGAATATCCCAGGATTGGTGACAGTGCAGTTTGACCTGCTCCATGTGCTCTGCTAACACTTTGTCCTTAGAGCCACTTTTCTGATGAGACACTTTATTTCTAAGCATAGAGCAGAGTTCCCTGAAAGCCGCCAGAATTTTCATATTTACCTACTTGAAAACCCTATTTTTTTGTACTAGTGCTTTTTTTTTATTGAAGTGTAGTCAGTTTACAATAACGTGTCAATTTCTGGTGTACAGCATCATGTTTCATTTATACACACGCACATACATATTTGTTTTCATATTCTTTTTCATTATAGTTTTATTTACAGATATCAAATCAAACCCTAGATCGAATTTAAGGTGACTTTTAATATCCTTTGCTAAATGCAGTTGAAAAAACTATTCAGTTCCCATCTTTCCCAAAACAAAGAGATAGGATAAGAGCCATAGATACAGATACAGTTACAGATATAAATAATAGGCAGGAAAAGGTAAAAGGCTGAGTAATGGCATTGAAAAATTATTCTTCTTGGTCAGATTTATCTGATAATTTCTTGGTTCTCTATTTAACCCTAATTGGATGGATGCCTGACTTTGACGCGGGAGAGCAAGAGTGAATCTCCCCAGAGATGGTTTCATTGTTCTGTTGAACAAGCTGCTGCCCCCTAGAACTAGCACCCTTATCGTGTATACAGATCCTCCGATTTTGAGATGCTTTCTCCTGCATTAGATGGATAATCCATTCGGTAAACATTTACACAGTGCTCGCGCTGTGCCCGTCTCTGGTGGACAGGCTGGGATGGAATGCTGCCCTGGGGAACCTGGTGGGTTGGACGAGCCCGTGGGAAATCCTGACAGCGAGCATGTTTCAGGGGGTGGTTTGGCCAAAGATGTCTGGACCGAGGGGAAGAGGGGCCACCAACGTGTAGGCAGCGCTGCAGAAGCTTTTTCTTCCTGACAGGATGGTAGGGTAGTCGGTCAGCTGACCAATTAACCAAAAATTGGTTCAAATAGGGAAATGTAAAAAATTGTGCTTAGATTCTCAAACATTTTGTTTTAACTTAAGCCATGAAAACGTTCATTTTTTATT